GCGTCTAGTGCTTTTGATGCTTTTAGCGTTCCCTTGGTGATATGGAGGTTGTTGGAAGCTTTAGGTGTCCTGCCAGGTAGGAATATTTCCAACTGGAATGTTATTTACCTTCATCTGTGGTTTACAAGGACCACTGGAAATCCCTTCAATAAACACATGCATTTTCATCTTTAAAAAAGTAATGTCGAGACAAACATGGCACTGACCTCCCGTCTTCTGCCTCTGCCCGGCCAGGCCACCTGACTCCGGACTTTTGGTGCCACCTAGGTGAGACTCTTGCTGACTGAATTTTGCTGCTTGTGCCGCCACCGCCTGGGCTCCAGCGCAGTCCTGGGTCCCTCGCTGCCCCTCGCTGCTCTTGGGCCTGGGCGACCCCGGCTGGAGCTGCGTTCCTGGGCACCCCCCCCCGGCGGCCCCTGCTCGGCTGGGCAGATGGGCAGAACTTCTTCCAGCCCTCGCTTCCTTCCCTGCTGGTCCCAGCCACAGCTACAGCACCGAGGAGCAGCCCCAGCAATCATTCTGGGCTTCTCCTACCCCATCAACTGGGTCCGGACTTATCCTTATTTGGGCCTATTTCGACAAGGAGTTCAGTATCGCTGAGTTCTCTGAGGGGGCGAAGCAGGCTTTTGCTCATGTATCTATTGCTGTCACAGTGTAAATTTGATCTACTGAAAGAACTTGTAGCCAAAGAGATGCTACAAGTATTAAAAGAAAAGGTCGCTTCACTATCTGATAACCATAAAAAATGCACTTACTAGAACATAGATGAAATTGTCTATACGTCAACAGGGGACATCTCCATTTACTATGATGAGAAAGGAAAGAAGTTTGTTAACATCCTGATGTGCTTTTGGTACCTGACTAGTGCTGACATCCCCAGTGAGACTTTGAGTGGAGCCAGTGTGTTTCGGGTGAACCTGGGGGACCAGAACGTGGAGACTAAACAACTGCTTAGTGCAAGCTATGAATTTCAGAGGGAATTCACACAAGGAGTAAAGCCTGACTGGACTATTGCATGGATTGAACACTCAAAGTTACTAGGATAGTCTTTCTTGGAAGAAAATCAGGGTGTGAACTTTTAATAATTGCTGTGAAGAACTAAGGAAGAAACGTTTTTGGATCATTTGATTTTCACCTAATTAAGTCTGTGGATTACTTTTGTATGAAATATTCCTTGCAGTATATCAACCTGATACAATACCTTCGCCTGTGTGTTATGGTATACAGGCATGCATGTGAACATGTACATACCATGTAAATAAATGTAAAATTAAGTAATGGAGAGACTGATAACAAATCCAGCATTAGTCATGCTCTTTTTTTTTTTTTTTTTTTTTGGTTTTTCGAGACAGGATTTCTCTGTGTAGCTTTGCGCCTTTCCTGGAACTCACTTGGTAGCCCAGGCTGGCCTCGAACTCACAGAGATCCGCCTGGCTCTGCCTCCCGAGTGCTGGGATTAAAGGCGTGCGCCACCACCGCCCGGCTAAGTCATGCTCTTTTAAAATGGAAGGAATGTAAAACTAAATTTTGTTATCATTATTGTTGTTTATTTATTTTATTTATTTTGAGACAGGGTCTCACTGTGTACCTTTGGCTGGCCTAGAACTCAGTATGTAGACCAGACTGGCTGGACCTCATAGGGCTTTGTCTGCCTCTGCCTTCTGAGTACTGATATTAACAGGGTCTACCACCATGCCTGGGATATCATTATTTTTAATCTGTGATGGCAAGTCCAGACAGAGCCAATGAAAATAATATTTGTTTAGACACTTTTAGTATCTACATTAATGACTTATTCCTATAAATATTAATTCTATAAATATTACTTATTTACCCCAATGGGGAAAAGTGAAGAATTTTAGCTTTATCTATTACAAACATCTTTAGTCATAATGGGATCTTTAACTATCTTAAGCATAAATCAGTGGTTGTCAACCTTCCTATTGCTGTGGCCCTTTAATACAGTTCCTCATGTTGTTGGGACCCCCAACTGTAATATTATTTTCCCTGCTACTTCATAACTGTAATTTTGCCACTTTTATGAATCATAATGTAAATATCTGATATGTGGGATGTCTGGTGAGTGTTATGCTTATCCCTGCAACCTCAGCATTTAGGTGGTGTAGGCAAGAGCATCAGGAGTTCAAGGCCATCCTTGGCTACATAGTAAATTGAGGACAGCCTGGAGTACATGAGACCCTGTCTCAACAAAACAAAACATTCTTCTTAAGTTTAAGGTTGTGTGGCGCAAGGACTGTGAGATCAACTCTATCTTTAAGTAATAAAATCCTTGTTAAAGAAAATAAGTTTTTGTTACAGAGAAGAATCCAGGAATACCCTGGCTTAAATGTTCATAATAAGACTTTGGTTAGCTAAAGTGGTATTTATAAATCTTAGGTTAAGCCTGGTGTAGTGGCACATGCCTTTAATGCCAGCACTTGGGAGGCAGAGGCAGGTGGATCTCTGAGTTTGAAGCCAGCCTGGTCTACAAAGCAAGTTCCGGGACAGCCAGGGCTACACAGAGAATCCGTGTCTCAAAAAAGAAAATAACAACAGCAACAGCAACAAAAACTCTTAGGATAGTATAATGATTTAAATAAATATAGGCGATTTCCAACCATAAAGAAACAAAGTATAAAGAATTTGTGACTCAGGCTCATAGAGTTAAAATTCATGCTGAAGAGGCTGTGCACATACTTGTAATTTAGCCCATTAAAGTAACATCAACTTTATAATTTCATTAAATCACTCTTGTAATTGGTAGAGCGCTAACAAAGATTGTATATATTATATAAATATTTACTTTAAAAATTGTCATCTTTTACATTTAAAAATTGTATTTTGTTATGTGTTTTGCCTGTATGTATGGAAAAATTTCCAGGGATTGGAAGTGTTGATGTGTCTGGTCAAAGTGGGGTGTGAGAAAGTCACAGCATGGAGATTAGAGGATCCTCACTGAGTGGGACTCTGGAAGGGAGGATGTCTTTACTCAGGATACTAAGCCACATAAACAATGAACACACAGAATTGGAATTGATTGCCTACTCCTAAAATTAGCACCAAACTATGACTTAAAAAAAAATTATGCATTTGAGAACCCTCAAGTCATTAAAACTTGAGGTAAAATTTGACATAGAGTTGAATAGGAGGACTGAGGACCCCATGTGTGTGAAGTGCCCATGGGGGCTAGAAGAGGGAGTCAGACCCCTTAGAAATGGTTCAGATTGGTGTGAGCTGCTATGTGGATGATGGGAATTAAACTTAGGTCCTCCGGAAGAGCAGTCAGTGCTCTTAACCACTGAGCCATCTCTCCAGCCTTTTTATTTTTCTTTTTAAAAACCTCTTCATGTGTGTGTCTGTGTCTATGTCTATGGGCAGGAGAGTATGTGTGTAGGTATGTGTGTGTGCACCAAGTGCTCATGTGGAAGTCAGTGGATAGCTTTCAGGAGTCCATTCTTTCCTCCCAGTCGGTTCAAGATCAAATTCAGGTATCGGGCTTGGCTGCAAGTACTTCTTGCCGGGCTACTTTTGCTTGCTTTTGTGTTGTTCTTTGTGGTCTAGGTTGGCCTTGAACTTGTGATTGTTGTGTGCACCACCACACCAAGCAATTCACCTTATTTATACATTTAATTCATTAGACTTGTAAAAGTGACTTTAGGTACCTGAAAAAAATTGTGAGAAAAGTGATCTAGAGTAAGATATCTCAGAGATTTTCATGCAATCAAATATTCCAAACTTAAATTTTTGGTGGCTGCTGGGCACCGTGAGCACAGTGCTGTTCAGTGTCCTGTTGTGCTGTTCCCATATCCAGTGTTGGACTTTATTAATGTGGGCTGTTAACTGTGGCTTATGTTGAGCTCTGTGAGGCCTGATTCAAAGTTATGTTGGGAAGTGTAGAACAGACCTTGTCCCAAGGCCAGGGTGCTCCTACTCAGAAGGGCCTTTGGGGTCTCTGCTGATTGCTCTCAGTGTTCCAAGGGGCCTCTTCTCTGCCGAGTGGACTTTTCATGATTAATCTCTGCAGACTGGAGGGCTGCCGGGCTGTTCTCCTCTGGCTGTCCATGCAAACAGAGTTCACGCTGTGCACACTTGCTTACCATTCACTTCCCAAGCGCTCCCCTGCTGTGTCCTGTGAATTCATGCCCCAGTCTCACTCTCTGGGCCTTTAGCAAGAAAGCTGAGGCAACTTGAGAATTCATTTCTCCCCTTGTCTCTGATCTTGCAGGGTCTTTTGTCTGGTGTTAGAAGATAGTGCACACACACACACACACACACACACACACACACACACACACGCACACACACACACCCCTTTCAGTCATTTCTGAGAGCTCATGTAAAACTTTGTTTAGAAATGGGATGAATAGCCTGTTGTGGTGGCGCGCACTGATAGGATTTGCTGAAGGAGGCAGAGGCAGGAGGATCTTGAGTTCAGAAATGGGATGAATCAAGTCTGTGAAATGCTGTGCAGCCAAGCCTGCTGTCAGTAAGGAGGTGGGAAATAGAGGCCAGATAAACAGTGGGGACCCAGACATATGCCACAGAGAAGGAAGGCGAAGTCTTGGCAACCGTTGGGGGTGGGGGGGCGGGCGGGGAGCAACTCTCCTGTTGCCTGTCCATCCTGGTGTCCTTGCTTGTCTTGTGTGGGCTGTGTTGTTGTCTCACCGTAAATGTCTGGGAAATTCATGTTTTTCTTTCACTTACATTATTTGATATTTTGAAAGAATATCTTACTGTGTAGTACAGGCTGGCCCAGAGTATGCAATGTAGCACAGGCTGTCCTTAAACTTGTGTTTCCCAGCTGCAGCCTCCTGATTGCTAGGGGAATGGGCCACCATACTTGGCATCAAATTTTGTTTACAGTTCTAAATTTGGGTATATAGAAAATGTAAGACACTTAATATGATTGATAATAAATCTGATAAAAATGTTTCTTTTGACAGTTTAGATTTTATATTGGAAAGAAGAGGGGTTGAAATGTCTCTTTTTCTTCATTCTAGAGACATATTATTACATTTCGCCATTAGTTTGTGCCTTTTTCTTGGCCCTGACACCTATCTGGATTATAATAGCTGCCAAACACCCAGCCACCAGGACAGTGCTCCACTCGGGCTGGGAGCCCGTCATAACAGCCATGGTCATAAGCAGGTGAGTGTCGGGGCTGGGGAGGGAGAGGAGTGATCATGTTCTGTGTAGGATGTGCGTACTAAACTAGTTTTTGGATTAACCGTGAGGCATCAGTTAGCTGAATCCTAATAGGGTTGCAAAATGGAATATTAGCGACCCAGAATAACGCTGCTACATTTCTGTTGCTATGGAAAGATGTTCGGTCCACAGTTGATGAAAAAGAGTGATCTGGGAAGAGTGGGGATGTCCTGTGAAATGTGGTGAACTAAGAGTCTTGTGCGATATTTGGATTTGGATAGTACGAAGATCAAAATCCAGCATGGGAGACCCTGAAGAGGAGGTAGAGGATAACAGCTGTGCCTCTGTTCTTGAGACCAGCTTTCCAGAGCGTAGGAGGACAGTGAGCATAAGGAGAGCTGTCTCTAAGAATTAGAAAAACAACTTTGTGGAATTGATTGATGGTGACTTCGTGGGTTTGATGTATCGAGAAGGGCTCACCGTCGATTGGTGGATATAGAGAGAAGGCATTTGTGAAAGCTGTGAGATGCATCCTCATCTACTGTAGAAGTCACTAAATACAGTTCTAAAACTAAAAATAAGAAATAGTGTTTATGCATGCTACTTAGAAACAGAAGCTACAGTGGAAACTAACTCCTAGTGCACAGAGGGTCTGGGAATGGGGCTGAGAACTACTGTCGGATGATGCCAAAGCCTTTGGTCAGCTGTTTGGACTGCCAATTCTATGACTGCATGTGGATCATTTTGCTGCAGGTAGATTGCATTTCCTGGAAGATTTAGGCAACAGGTTTCTAAACTGTTGGGACTGGCAGTGTCTTACAGTGAATAAACCACAGACTGAAGGTAAACAGTTAATAAAGGATTGAATAAGCCTCCAAGTTCCACTGAGATACTGAAAGTGTATGGCTTGCCATGTTTTTATAGTAAACACTGTCTCATTTCCCAGAATTCTCAAGCTCAGCTCGTTCTGTTGCTACAGCTCTCTGGTAATACAATTGCAATCCATCTAGTTTTAGCACAGCAGACACCACGCCTGTAATGCCTGCTTAGTTTAAAGATGAAAAGACACCGATTTACAACTAGTCTGTAAGTTGGAAGAGTAATGGATGACATGATGAAAAAAATGATCTGATCCCAGCACTCAGGGGGCAGAGGCAGGTGGATTTCTAGGGGGCTAAGGGTAGCCTGGTCTACTAGCAAGCTCCAAGCCATCCAAGGTTATTATATAGTGAGACATTATCTCAAACAAAATAAAACAAAAAATACTATGTGCAGAAGAATATGAAGAGATCATTAGTCCCATTGTTTTAAGTCCTTAAAATAGTTAACAATGCCTTATAGGTCCTTCTTGATAGTTTAGTGCAGTTAACATATGTATAATCTGGGAATTGTGACACATGCCTATAATCCCAGCACTTGGTAGGCTGAGGCAGGAGGATTGCTATAAATAGTTCAGGGATGTCTTGGGCTATATATCAAGACCCTGTTCCCCAAAGGGGAGGCAAAGATAAATCAAACAAACAAACAAACAAACAAAAACTAATGCACACACACATTTTATCTGATGGTTATGGTATTTATTGTTTATTTAGTGTGTATAGTCTGTGTGTGTGCTGGTATGTGCCCAGGTATGCAACTGTGGAGGCCAGAGGTCAGCACCAGGTTCAGAGTGTCATCTTCTGTTGTACCCTGTTTTTGTTTTCTATCTTAGTCTTTGAGGTGGGTATTCACTGAACCTGGAGATCCCTGATTGGCTGCTCGGCATGGCTAGTCAGCCCCCGAGATCCTTTTGTGTTCGCCTCCCACTGCAGAGATGACAGGGTCCCCTGCCCACACTCTTTGTTTTATGTGGGTGTTGGGCTCTAAACTCAAGGCTTTGTGCTTAAATAGGTAGTTCCCCACCCACTGAACACCTCTCCTGCCCCCAGGGCCATGTGTTGTTTCCAGCTTTTTACTGTTAACATTGGTTTCTACTTGGAATATTCTTCTTTTTGCCTCATTTTTATGTTGCATAAAGATTGTACTATACAAAGTGGGGGTGTTAGAATGTCAGAACTACTTGAGATTCTTTTCCATTCTTCTCCCCTAATATGTGGTTTTCTTTCTCTCAGCATTGGGGGCCTTATTCTGGACACCACTGTATCTGACCCAAACTTGGTTGGGATTGTTGTTTACACGCCAGTTATCAACGGTAAGACTTGACGGTACTGCCTCATGATGATGTCACTGTTAGGGGCCCTTGTGTCTTCCTGCTCCATCCATTTCTTCCTTCAAACTCAAGATGTAGCTCAGAGCGGACATTCTCTTCCCCGGTCTCAGTACATAAAACACTTCTGGAAAAGAGCTGTTGCTCAATCATTTTTTGTTACATGTTTTTTTGACAGGCATACCTAACTTTTAAGGTTAATGTGACAAAATGCAGTATTTGGGTTCTGAGTTTTCCGTTCCCTTTTTAACTTACCTACTATTCTTACATTTGCTTTTGCTGGTTATCTTAGAAGAAGCAGAATTAGCCATATATGGCTATTCCTTAAATTCATTCCATTCACCAAGAGCTGCACCTCTGCTAACATCTGCAAGCCATGATCCACCATTTTCTTATCTATAAAATGGAAACTATCATCTTTGTATTAAATATGTATAGCATATACATTTAAGAATCATGTTAAAATACTATTATTTTGTATGAATTATACCTAACAAGACAATTTAATCCATCTCTACTGGTGATCATTAAGTTGGACTTTAGTATAGCCTAGATCGACATAATTTAAAAAGTAATTCTACATTGGCATACTATATATTTAGAATATATTATTTTTCTTATTTTAAGAATTCACTTTCTGTGGCCGGTCATGGTGGCACACACCTTTAATTCCAGCACTCAGGAGGCAGAGGCAGATGGATCTCTGTGAGTTCAAGGCCAACCTGGGCTACAAATCGAGTTTCAGGACAGCCAAGACTGTTACAGAGAAACCCTGTCTCAAAAAAACCACACACACAAAAAAAGAATTAACTTTCTATATTTACATAAAAATTTACACAATGACATGTTCTGCAGAAGTCTAATTTTAGATCTAAAATTTCTGCTGAACATTGTAATTTTTGTCTACCTTTAGAATGTCAATGACATTTCCCTATGAATCTCTCTCCTAGCTGTCTGGTGCCACCATCTGCCTCCTGTCATCCATCCTTGAAATCCTGGGACCATCTGATTCTGCCTGGCTCTCCTCTTTGACTTGAACATTAGCAAACCTTGTCCATTGTTCCCCTCCCCCCATGACTTGCTTGTTCATTTGTGTATACAATGGCGTGTCTCTCCATTGCAGTCTGAGGTTGTCACACTGAGGCCATCCATCTGAAAAATGAAGTAACCTTTCTGAGTTATTGCTTGCTCAGTGTAAATGTCACCAGTGTGAGACCTGATATTCGCAAGGAGAAAAGACCAAGTCCATGATTGTCCAACTTACACAAGCTGTATGTTGGGATGCACCCAGACCTGGCCAGCCAGCTGCCTCCCTAGTCTGGATTTGAGAGAGCAGCCCCTGCTGGCCTCTAGAAGTCCCTCTTGTGGGAGAGATAAGCCGTTTGTTTACAGGGTGAGAGGGTTGGCAACTGGGTTATACATTGTTAGAAGGATACAGTGAGGCAGGAAGGAACAGAGGCAAGGGTGTACATCAAATGAACAGGGTTGCAAGCAGTTTTCACCAGAAACAGGAGCTCACTGTTTAGACAAGCAAGTCATGGGGCGGGGGGGGCAATGGACAAGGCTTGCTAATGTTCAAGTCAAAGAGGAGAGCCAGGCAGAATCAGATGGTCCCAGGATTTCAAGGATGGATGACAGGAGGCAGATGGTGGCACCAGACAGCTGGGAGAGAGATTCATAGGGAAAAGTCGTTGACATTCTAAAAGTAGACAAAAATTACAATGTTAATTACAAGTAGAAACCCAGGATACATAGGGACTCATCCCTTAGCTAGGACTTAACCCAGGACACACAGGGACTCATCCCTTAGCTAGGACTTAACCCAGGACACACAGGGACTTCTTTTTAACTGTCTTAGCTGCAGGTATATTTTCTGTTTGGTCTCCATTGACCTGCAAGGCATCTGTTGCTGTTTTGGTGTCACATTGCTCTTCCATAAGCATTGTTTGTGTCCTGTCAATCAGAAGATGACTTTCTCAATGGGTCACATCAAATCTGAATCCCAGTGTCTTTCAGAACCCTTGGTACACTGTTGGACTCAGTGATCCCATTGGAGGCCCCAAACGATTGCCTAGATTCTTGTACTGTCCTAACAGAGACTCCAGCCCTCACCACACAATAGCTGCCTTTCCTTCCACCTCTTCCTACTCTCTCTGTCTTTAGCTTTAAGTGTTATCAGATTGACCTGTATTGAATAACTACGGGGAACTGAAGTGGAAATTACCCGTTATTGGCAAGACTTCTGAGACTTTCTGTTGCTTCACCTTTACAAGGACCTGATTTAGAGCATCATGACAGGCTCTCCTTGGAGGTCTGTGCTGTTAAGTCCTTTTCTGTATGCCCACAGATGCCACAATGTACTCATCTTAGATTAAATTCCACCTTTTGGAAGCAATGGTAGAGAAGATTCCATACTCTCAAATGGGTACAGTTCTCAGAACTGAATTGCATTTAAAACAATTTTATTAGATTTCTTCATTTTATTATATGTGTGAGTGTTTTTGCTGGCATGTAAGTCCGTGCACCACATGTGTGCTTGGTGCCCACAGAGGTCAGAACTGGAGTTACAGATGGTTGTGAGCCACCAAGTAGGTGCTGGAAATTGAAACTGGTTCTCCTCACAAGTGCTCTTTACCACTGAATAATTTATAAATGTGCAAGGGATGTGCTGCTTCTCCTCCCCTTCTCTTCATAATCTAATATTTATTATGTATCTATATAAGTGTCAAGTAACTGTAAGTCTTTAATGCATGTTATACATAAACTAATCCTCATGTAAGTAATTAGTCCACGATTAAATATCTAGTGAATGATGGTGAGTCAAAACCTCAAAGCCAGATCTGCCTAATTCCCAAACCTGCAGTTTTCTTTCTCTCAAAACATACAGCTACTATTTTATCTGATACACACATGCATGTGTTTAAAGCAAAGCTCATCTGTGTTGATGTGACTGAGAGATCATTAAATGTTTACATGCCTCAGAATGAGTAGCATTTTAAAAATCATTGGTCACACTGGCTCTGTAAGACATTAGTGAGTACAATTTGAGAAGTGAATTCCGTGGTCAATTGAGTTTAGTAAAACAAAGTTAACAGAATTCTTGACGACAGGATATCGTAAGCCATTATTGGGCTAACGTCTTCCATGCTACTTTTCAGTACTTCTCCTGCAAGTATTGGAGTGTCTGGATCTAGCCTTTTTCCTACCCAAGACCATGCGTGATGAGCCACTGAACTAGGCATTATATAATATTTATTTACTTATTTACTTACTTATTAGGGAACTGGAGGCTGAGCCCAGGGCCAGGCATGTGCTCTAGGTAGACACTCTGTCTCTGAGATTTAGCCTCAACCCATAGTCTGTTTTCTTTTTAAATATTTTATTAATTCTTTGAGAATGTCACACAATTTTGATCATATCCAATTCCCACTCCCTAACTACTCCCAGATCCCCCCCCCCATTCCTACCTCCCAACCTTTATATCCTTTTGTTTCCTTTTTAATAATATATCACCTCTAATTTGTGTTAGGGTGTGGGGCATCCACTGGAACATCGTCAGTTTACACTGTCTTAGTTAGGGTTTCTATTGCTGTGAAGAGACACTATGACCACAGCAACTCTTATTAAGGAAAACATATACTTGGGTGGCTTACAGTTCAGAGATTCAGTCCATCATCATCATGGTGTGACATGGTGGTTTACAGGCAGACATGGTGCCGGAGATGGAGCTGAGGATTCCTACATCTGGACTTGCAGGCAACAGGAAGTGATCTGTATTACTGAGCATGGCTTGAGCATATATAAGAACTCAAAGCCAGCCTCCACAGTGACACACTTCCTCCAACAAGGCCATACTTACTCTTAACAAAGACACACTTCCTAATAGTGTCATGCCCTTTGGGGGCCATTTTCTTTCAAACCACTACCCACACCCTTAAAGAAAACTGACTTTACCTACTCCAGAAGTCGTTACTGTCCATAACTCCTCAGTTAGGGGCAGAGGCTTATGAACCCCTCCCCACTCTATGCAAGAATGTTGACTGGGAGCTAGGTTGTGGTGGCACACACCTTTAATCCCAGCACTTGGCAGGCAGAGGCAGGCGGATCTCTATGAGTTCAAGGCCAGCCTGGTCTACGAAGCAAGTTCCAGGACAGTCAGAGTTGTTACACAGAGAACCAAAACCAACCAACCAAACAAACAAACAATGTTGACTGGGGTGTGTAGCTTGTTCAGGCGGCACAGCTCCTGTGAGTTCCCGAGTGCAGCCGTCTGTCATGTGCAGAACACACTGTTTTGGTCTGCTCCCCCAGACCTTTGATCTTGCAATCTTCCTGCCCACGCATCCAAAGTGGGTCCTAAGCCTTGGGGAAAGGATGTGCTATGGATGTCCCACTTGTGGCCGAGTATTCCACTGACATTTGTCCTCTGTACTTTGACTAGTTGTCAGTTTGTCTGGAGGCCCTGCTAATCTGCGGGTAGAGAGATGCAAACGTAACGAGAGGGCAACTCCATCTTTTGTCCTTTTAGCATAATAAAGTGAAGGGTTCACTCCTGGGGCCTGTCCACTCCCAGACATGGATTCTTGCAAGATTGATAGTACCAGGCATGTGTCTCTTCCTGTGGACTGGTCCTCAAATCCAAGCAGAAGGCGGTTGGTCACTCATGGCATCTGTGTCACATGGGCACATCTTGTTTATGCCAGTCTTTATTGCAGTTCACAAATTCCTAGCGGGATAAGATGGTTGACAACTTTGTGTATAGGATCAGAGACTTGTATCAATATACCCTTTTGTCTTCTGTCATACTTTCCTTTGTTTAAGCCCTGTAGTACATTTTTATTACTTATGCTTTAAATAGTTTTAAAAATATTAAGCATAATGAAAATGGTATTTTCTATGTTTTCTTATCAGATTGGCATTTCCAGTTCTTTCCTTTGTATACATGCCTACTTCCATCTGAATGGCATGTATTCTCCATCTGCTTG